TTAAAAACATCATAAATCAGAGTTTCTCTAATTGTATTATATTCCACCTGTGTACTCAGAGGGCTTGGTGGTGTGTGTGGCCTTGTGTGTGTGCACATTTGCCTTGAGCACCTGTGTGTTTTCTTTGTGTTTGATGCCCTTTCCTCTCTGTGTGTGGTTTGAGTTTCCATTTGTTGTTTTGCCACTTGGTGGGTGCTCTGTAGGAATGTCACATTAATGAGGGAGTAAAGGGAAAAAGCTAAGAAATTGATTTGACAGCCATGAGATGGATGGATGGATGGATGGATGGATGGACACACACAGTACATATATACTTTATTGTGTAACTGCACTGAAAAAACAATACAATGAAACTTAGTTCAACAACATTGCATACAGCAGCATAAGTAATCAATTGTCTTAAAATATACTAAATAAATAATTTGGGAAAAAATAGGATGGAGAAGGGACAGGGGAAAGAACAATAGAAAGGAAGAGATCGAGAAAGGATGGAAGGAAAAGAAGGGAGGATAAGAGGAGGAATGAGAGAAAAGAGGGAGGAAGAAAGGAACAGACATGAAAGTTGAAAGTAAGCGATGATGGACATAGTAAGTAAGGGGAGAAGGTGAAGGGAAAATATAAATAAAATACTGATAAATGTAACATGTTCAAAGATCCGGTCAACCAGTAGACCCCTACCCCCTTTTAACGTTCATTTAGCTGAACCAATAAACTGTGAAGAGTGCACAAAGAGAAGGAGGTAACATAACCACACAAACGGGACGGGACAACACAGAGGGGAGGGTGAGTGACTACAGATTTAGCTGGAGGAGACACTTGGTGGAGCCACACAGAGGGAAAGGGAGAGAGAGGTCGGAAACGTCGACGCACCGCTGACCAGGACTACAACCTAACTTCACCTCCTCTCCATTTCTTTTGTAGTTTCTATTGGCCTTTATTTTCCCTCCTAATGCGCCTCTCCCACAGAAGTTAGCGGGGTCATTTCATCTTAAATTCACACTAGTTTACTGCTCAAACTTTTCCAGTCGGAGCGGACCAAGCGGACAGGTGGAGATGATGGCGAGCGGAGCGGCACCGCTCGATGCTGCGCTCTCCCCGACTCGGCGCATACAGACGCGGATCGCGTTACTTCTGTTCTGGCCGCTCTTACTGACCTGCTGCTTCTTGATGTCAGCTCAGGAGCTGCCGACCAACGGGGTTGAACGGTTACAGCCTGCACTCGCCCTACTTCAATCTGGCTGGCACCAAGATCACTGCTACGGTGACCTGCGGGGAGGACAACAGCGGCAGGACGGTGTCATCAGTAACACCTGTGTTTCTCCACTTGCGCTCAGAAATGTCAAAATGGCTTAATTTCTCCCTGCCCCCTTTCACACCAGGCTGTTGTGTAGGTAAGAGATGCCCTAAGGGATGGTCCCAGCGTGATGACTACTGTTAAAAGTTCAACCTCAATGAAAAGGACTGGGCTGATGCAGAGGTACAGTACTGGGTGGAAGCATAACGTCCTCTTCATGGTACACGTTCAGTGCGACTTTATGAGGTACACCATGTAATTCAATGCAGCACTTGTGCTTTAACATTTGTTTATGAAGTTTGTTTTCAGTTTTTAGTGACATTGTTTTGAGTAGTTCATGGTTGTGGTAATGGTGAAAGGTAGTGGTGTACTGCACTAAAATACAGAGTTTGAAATGCTGATAATCCACTCCATCCTGTCTAGTAGGCTACAGGAAAATCAGTTGCATGATCAGTAGGAATGGTGACAGCACTGTTAGAGATACTTTGCATAGTCTATTAAAGATTCTATTTATCAAAAATAAATGTAAATAAGTTGCTGCACTTTTACTGGGTGGAACAGTTTTTGCTCAATCACTGGCCACTTGATTAGGTAGAATTGTATGCAACATTTGCACCCTGACATGTTCAAGTTGGTTTCAGGTTTTGGTGCAATGGTCCTAAATGTGTAGCTTATGGTTGAGGTTATAGTTTAAGGTGGTGGTGGTGTATGAGACTAAATTATATTGACTAGGGCTGCACCAATACCACTTTCAGACAAGTCGAAATAGATGTTGGACTGTTTTCCCTATAAAGTGTTGTGATTAGAGAGATGGCTTAATTTGACATGTCCACTTGGATAAATGGAATATCTTGTGGAACAGGAGGCTGTGCAGACTAGTTGAGACAAACAGTTCTGTCACCATGGCTATTTAAATGTGTAGCTGATTGATTTTCAGTAGTGTTGGACCCAAACTGGCATCAGCATTGGTGCATCCCCCCCAGTTCTGACCCTCATGTCATTGGGATAGAGAAATGGTCAGCTGAATGTATTATGGTTCACTACAGTTAACAATAAAATGGAAGTAGCTGTGAGGGTGTGCTTGTTAAAATGTTCATCCTGATATGAAATGGCCTTTGTCTCTGCACTTCATTCAAACTCAACACTCCTGCTTCCTGTACTCATTTCTAGTTTGTTCCTTTTGTCTTGGCTTCACACTTTGCTCCATCAGGTTGCCTGCGTTGCTGTTGGTGGGAATCTGGCCTCCATCCACACCGAAGACCACTACAACTTTGTGAAAGGTTTGATTAAAACCTCAGCTGGCACAAATAAACAAACCTGGGTTGGAGGCACTGATGCAGTCAAGGTGAGTAACTTAACAATAGACTTTGAGCATTTTATAGCGAATGTATAGTCTTCTGCTTATTTGGTAGTGATGTTGGGGTGCCAGGATATGATTTCACTTGTCACCTGTGTGTTAATGTTCTGCGTGAACCAATTCCTGAGTCTTGTTCTTCCAGGAGGGTGTGTGGCTGTGGAGTGACGGTTCCAATTTTGACTTCACGTTCTGGGGACCAAGGCAGCCTGACAATGCCGGTAGAAGTGAAGATTGTATGGCGCTGGTCAATAAGGGTACATAATGATCTACTGTCCTTTCATTTGGCATGATTGCAACAAAGGAAAGAACATTAAGGTGGGGTGGGGGAGGTGCTCTTTTGTAATGAATGACCTTGGCTCTCATTGTTTACCTTCTAGGTGTTGCCAATGACATGCCCTGTACCCAGAAGAAGTCGTACATTTGTGGCAGAGGCCTGTGTGGACGTCGCACCCCTGCTAGTGATGGCCGTTTCTTTTCAATTTAATAAACACAATTTTCAGCAATATGTCTTTAATTACTATTTTATTGCATTGCTTCTCAAGTGATAAAGTAGTTGCAAGTATGTATTGCCAAAGAAGCAGTTTTGTTACATCGGTGTGAAACTTGTTGAGGATGTGATAGGACTCTGCCTTCTCAATGCTAAATGTGATTGTGGCTGCAAAAAAATCTGCATATGCAGAGGACTTATGTTTGAGAACAATTTGAACTTTAGTAAGAAAACACTGGCAGTTTGCTAAAAAAGCCTCTGCCTTTCGAGCCCTCTTAATAGCATTTCCCTTCTGCAATCTTCCTGCTTCGCACACTTTTCCTTTACGCTGTTCAGCGCTCATTGCAGCTTGCTTCAAAAACAGCGTTAAATCACTCACTTCAGGCGGAGCGCCTTCACAGTCTCCAAACATCCCCTTGTCTTGCATATTGTTGGGATTGGATTTCAGGAGTTAGTTATTTTTCTACTTATCATCAGTATTATTTTGCTTTTATAATGGAAAAGTTCAGTATGACTATTTGTCTGTGTTTCATTAACAGCTCCATGTATCAGTATTAACCTGGCTCTTATGCATGCATTATAGTTATAATATTCAGTTTTGAGACAACTTGTAGTATTTCTTGTCTTCTTGGTGAAATGTGCATAAATTGATTGCAGAGATAAGTGTCATCCTGAAAACTATAGATAAGATGCTAACTGCATGTCTACTTTCAGAAACGCCTGAAAATACCAACACATACACACACACGCTGCTTATTCGAACATTATAGAAGATTTGCATGAACCTTGTATGAACCTTGTGTCCAGTTCATGTTGTAAATGTAGAGCCAACAAATTAGAAGATAATATGAGTTCATATCTGTATGAACCGTGTATGAACCTCGTGTCCTGTTCATGTTGTGAGTGTTGAGTCAACAGATTAGAAGATAATATGAGTTTCCACTCATGTACAGGGCAGTCCCAGCCCGAGAAGATATATGTGAATTACTTCCCATTGTACAGATTATACAGACTTGTACAGGTCTCTAGTACTTTGTTTTAAGTACTCTATTTATTTTTATCCCTAATTATCTCATTTCAATGAACATTCCTTTGTTGCCTGCATTGTTTACTGTCTATTTATACAGCTTTTTCTGCATTGTTTGCACTGGTTGTTGATGTTAATACTTCTATTTTGTTATATTACACAGCTTTATGCTGGTCTACTGTTTGCACATTGAGAGTTGATGTACCTGAGTCAAATTTCTCGTGTGTCCAACATACCTGGCCAATAAACTGATTCTGATTCTGATAATGGGATATAATAAAATCAACTTTCAAAATAAAATAACCACTTCATTAATGATTTCCATTTCTGTTTTGTACAATAGTGGTCATTTTATTTTGATGGAGTTTGCAGGAAGCTACTCTTATTTTGACAGTGTCCAAGCAGTTTTAAATGTCAGAGATAAAAATAAACGCAGCTGTGTTCAGAAATAAATTGTAAGTAGACTGATATGTTTCTGTCTGTGCTTTTATTGTGTCTCCTTAACGTAGTCATGTCTGAAAAACTAACTTCAGTGGATTTTGAGATTTCTGGAAATGTGCAAGGTAGGTCATATTACATACTGTCAAATGGGTGGGTCATTGTTGGTTTGTTTTGCTGTAAAAACTCTAGTTTTTCCACAGTGTTCATAGTTCACTACTGAAAATATTCATGAAATATATATGTATGACATAAACACAGTATATTAATGAAGTTTCTGTCTTGTCTGTTCTTAGGTGTTTGCTTCAGAATGGTAAGTGTCACTCGGTTCACTTTCACAAAATTGTATTACTACTAATTCTTAATGTTATGACTGTTTGCAATTGTGCACTTGTTTTCATAAGTATAATGCTGACTTGCTTTAACTTTAGGAGTTTGATAGTATTTCCTGTAAATCATGTTCAGATAAATATTTGAATACATTAATATATTATTGACAGATTGTCATTATTCAACATTATTCAGATTATCAATGAGTGATTTATGACTAATTGATGATGGATAAATGAAGTATTTAGATACTTCCATGGTGTGTCAGTACACAGAGGATCATGGCAGGAGTCTGGGACTGAGTGGCTGGGTGAAGAACACCAGACAGGGGACTGTGATCGGTCAAATCCAGGGACCTGTGGAAAAAGTGAATGACATGTGAGTTCAAACTGACCAATCACAGGACTCAGCTACTAACAGCAGCATGAGCCTTGTGTCTGTAAAAGGCAGTGATTTTAAAGGCTTCTCAGTCTCATTCATGGAAACTTAGTGCAACATGAAACATAGCCATATTCATGGATTTTATCATCCCTATTATTATTTTGTTTTGTAAGTCTATTTGGGCAATAATCATGCATTAGCTGTTAGAACTACACTTCCCATGATTCTTTATTAGATGCAAAGACAGCATAATGTTGCCATAAACTGAGTGATTTAGCTTTAAGATACAACTTGAGCCATGATTTTTCCTATGTTAGTGTACATGTAGTCACAATGTCCCCATTATCAGCAGCAGAATGAGCAGTGAGCAGCTCCTGTCTGCAGTGTCCCCATCCATGTATGTACACACAGCTCTCACTGGATCACTGTGAGACTGAAGGGAAACACAGGAGGATTCTCAGGCAGGTTCTGCAGCCTCTTCTCCTCTGATCTATAAATGAATTTATGGAGGTTTATTCTGGAGGGACATCAGAGATGATGAGATCCTCAGGAAATGTATGAATGAATGAATCATAACATGTTTTGTGTCTCTCTTCACACTTCACTGAGGACATAAATTACATCAGTCTGTCTCTAAGTGTTTTAAACATTATCTGTGTTATGGCTGCAGCTCCAAATGGTGACAAATACACTAACTAAACTTATTTTATGCTTCTCTGGTTTTTGTTTCCACCACTGTCACAGCCATCTATGAGGTCTGAACCTTGGTAGTTGTTTTGATCTTGGTCTTACATTATTATTATTATGTGTGTTTTTACTTTGTGAACAAGTGTTTTGGCATCATTACAAAATCCTGCTAATGTATATATGGTCATTTTATTTGACAGCCTAGGCTAGGCCCATTCAGGACTGTCTCCTCACTATATAGAAGACAGTACTGTATGCATCTCCCAGAAACAATTGGGATACAGCTGTGCACATTATTTTAACAGATTGGCAAACAATCAGGTAACACATACAAAACCAACCACTTAGTCAGCATTGTTTTAAAGTTTTTTTCTCTTATAAAAGTAGACCACAATGCCTGAAAACCCTTCCAATAAGGCACAAGTCTCAGCTTTATGTGGCTTGCCCTGGGGTTTTGGAGTCTTCCCCTTGTTCTGTTATGCCAACCAGCACTTTGATAAATTTTGACTACGTTCACACTGCAGGTCTTAATGCTCAGATCGGATTTTTTGCAGAAATCCGATTTTTTTGCACTGTTGTTCACACTGTCTTTTAAATGCGACTGCCATCTGTCTCATGTGTGAACAGTATATGGCACTGACGTGACCCGCATGCGCAGAAGAGGACGTGATGTCCTGTGTTTGCGAAAATAAAAATGGATGCGGCTCGTGATAGCATGTGCGTAGCGATGTACCAGTTAATGTGCAATCAAAATAAAGAAATAACAATAAGAAGAATATAAAGAAGAAGGAGAGCACAAATATTGCTTATGGCCTCGCCTCCTCCAGCGCAGAATTGTGACGTCTGTCGCATTTAAATGACATAAAAATTGCATGAAATGCGACATGGCTGTTCAGACTGAAGTCGCATTGCAAAACATTGGATATGTATCCAATTTAGGACCACATATGAAAGTAGCCTGGGCCGGATTTGAAAAAAATTGGATTTGTGCTGTTCACACTGTCATAAGGAAATCAGCCAAAAAGATCGGATTTGGGCCACTTCAGTCTGCAGTGTGAACATAGTCATTGTCACTGGTGGTTGGGGAGGATACCTGTGTGAGGTCACATCTGCCTCTCTCTCTCTCCTTCTCTGGGGAATTGTGGCGAGTGACTAGGTGGTGCTGGCAAGTAGTGGCAAGCTGAAGCCAGTTGCTCCATCTGCTCAGCTAGTACATAGCCTGTCACACTTGGCAGTCAGTTAAGTGTCCTCACAACATTTAGACAGCCAACAGTGCTCTTCAAAAGTTTTGTCTTGCTGAAGCTTGCTCCTGTCCTGTGATAACCCAGCATACCTGTGTGATCCCGGACGAGTCGAAAATGCATTTCCGGGGGCAATTGTGGTTCAATGGATAGAGCAGTCAGCTCCCAACCAGAGGGTCGGAGGTTTGAATCTTGATGCCTGCAGTTGAAGTGTCCTAGGGCAAGACACTGAACCCCCAAGTTGCACCTAATGGTTAAAGCCAGTGGTTGAGTTGGTGCCACAGATGGCTTCCTCGGTTCTGTAGTGGAAACAAATTCCTTGTGTGCAACATACTTGGCCAAATAAATGTGATTATTATAACTTTCTACACCAAGTGAGTTACTCCAGCCAAGCTCATCCCCAGTGGCACCAGTTAGCCATGCCAGTAGCTCCAGCTACCCACTACAGGGATAGTGGGAATTAGGGATAAATAACTTGTTTAAATTGTAGATATAGTTGTTGTGGAAAAATGGTTTTAGACTATTTATTAAGGAAATATGTTGAGAAAATGTTACACAGTTGGCAGGTAACAGTGATTTTTTCAAAGTTATTTCAAAGAAGACCAAAATGTTACCACTACTAACATTACTGAGAACATAGATGAAAACAACACTGCTAACATCAAAGCCAAAGTAGTTACAACAGCAAACAGCAACATCACCACTGCAGTGCCAGTCACTGAGAGAGCAGCAGCAGAGTTTGAGACAACAGGCCGCTGTCTCTGTCTGTTTTGGAACCAATGGGCTCAGAGGAGCCAGGAATGAGGAACCTTTCAAGTCTTCAGATGTAGAACATGAAGTGATCTCATTGTGCTGTGAGTTACATCATTTAGTTTGGTTCTGGCGATCATAACCTGGATCACAGTTGTCATTAAAAAAGTCAAACTGAATGAGGCTTAAACACTATTTTTAGAGAACATCCAAATATGTAGCATGCAAAAAACTGAAGTTTTCATTTTCATTTATTGCATGGCAGTACAAGCTACATTATTTACATGCAAATTACAGTCTATTATAAACATTCACATGCAGGTGCGCAAAACTTGTCACGCGCGTGCACATACCCCAGTCACACTGATTTCCACAACAGCTGAAACTGATATTCTTTTGTGAAACTCTTCAGAACCTCAACAGAGGGGCATTTCAGAGTCTCTGTTAGTGACACAACTGTCAGCTATTGTCAGTAAATCTACTATCTATAGAACTTGTGGGCTCAGTCAGATGTGTAGTTGGACTGATGAGGATCTGATGACTGCAGACACCCTTGAATCTCCTCACAGTTCAAGTTCAAGAGACAAAACCTATCCAAACTTATAACTTTGTCTTTGTGTTTTTCAGGAAAGCCTGGCTGAGGAGTATCGGCAGTCCTAGTTCTCGAATCGATCGAGCCGTTTTCTCCAACCAGAGAGACATTTCTAAACTGGAGATACGTGGCTTCTCTACTCGCTACTGAACATGCTTGAACACCTCCAAAGTCACATCATCAATACCGCCACCCCCAGAGAAAAACATCAACTCTACTAGTTACTGGGGTCATTTATCAGTAAATCCCCCCTCTGCTGTTAGTCTCCTCTGTTTTCTATTTTTCTTTTTATTTCATTAACATTTTCCTATTTCACATTTTATTATCTATTGATTTACAATCTCAACTAAACGCTAAGCCTGAGCAGGACAACACATTTAGAGAGTAAAATTAATTCCAGCATCCTGTCCAGGGTGTACCCTGCCTTTCACCCGATGCCGGCAGGGATTGGATCCAGCATTAGGGACGAACGGCTGGATGGATCATAAGCGTACTTGATACAGAAATTGGCGGGGACCGACCCTAGGAGTGATTAGATTTTTAGCTGAAAAAGGGCCAAAGTCAAACTAAAAAAAGATAAATAAAAAATTCCCATATTTAACATGGGGAAAAAAATGTCTGTGCAGATTCTCAGTCATCCAGGTCATAGTAAGCTGAAAAAAACTTAGAAAAAAATCAAGTGGACTTAGATTTCTAGATCGAAGATGTTTCACCTCTCATCCAAGAGGCTTCATCACTTCTGACTGACTGGTGTTGAGTCATAGATATTTATCCCCCTCGTGGTGTTTCAGTCCTTTGATGCCCAACAATGTCCCCTAACGACTGAGTCGTTATAGCCCAGTATCGATGAGAGTTGTTACCTGTCTTTGAACCCTCCCCTGTGGACGACGCCTATTGTCCTGGTCTCAAAACAGGATTGTAGATCGATGACAAGTTGTGTCTTAGTCCACCACCCCTATTTAGTGAGGGGTGTTCTATTTTTACAAAAATAGCTTCCTTAACTCCTTTCTCAAACCAGCAATGTTCTCTGGCGAGGATCTGGACTTCACTGTCCTCAAAAGAGTGTCCTTTGTCCTTCAGGTGGAGGTGGACTGCTGACTCTGGTCCACTGGAGTTGGCCCTCCTGTGTTGGGTCATGCATTTGTGAAGCAGCTGCTTAGTTTCACCAATGTACAAGTCGTTACACTCCTGACTACACTTAATTGCGTACACCACATCACTCTGTTTATGTCTGGGTGTTTTGTCCTTCAGGTGGACCAGTCTCTGCCGCAGGGTGTTCATTCATTCATGCATTTTCTACCGCTTAGTCCCTGAACAGGGTCACGAGAGGGCTGGAGCCAATCCCAGCCGGAAATTGGGCAAAGGCGGGGTACACCCTGCACAGGTCGCCAATCCATCGCAGGGCTAACATAGAGACAAACAACCACACACACACACACACACACACACACACACACTCCTATGGGCAATTTAGAGACACCAATCAACATAAGCTGCATGTCTTTGGACTGTGGGAGGAAGCCGGAGTACCCGGAGAGAACCCACGCAAGCACGGGGAGAACATGCACAAACTCCACACAGAAAGGTCCCGGGTGGGGCCCGAACCTAGAACATTCTCGCTGTGCACCACCATGCTGCTGCAGGGTGTTCCCTGGTTTAAAGTTAACTGGGATATTGTGGTTGTGAAAGATCCTTTTTAACTTCTCTGACAA